CAGCAATCCTCAAATAGATACATTTACGCTGACATTTAAAATAAAACCTGGGACGTGAGGTTAAATCAAATGCATTGCATTTCCTTTTTTTCTTGCTGTGATTATGTTTTGAAAACTCTTTTTACTCAAATTTCACTTAAAACTAAAACAACACTTTTTACAGTGATCATTTTAACTGTCACATGAATACTGTCATGGTCAATGGAAATTGCATGTATATATTTGACAGAATATTAGACAATTCCAGTACAATAAAATACTATTGCATACTGTCATTAGGCCTTTATATAAGGAAGAACAGTCTGTAAGAGATAACGTCTCATAGTGCACAGACGCTCTTATTTAGCCTGTTACAGAGGCTTTACAACATGCACACAATATTCATCTATACACTTCAACATAGACAGAACATAATCAGTCCCAATACACTTCCTCTTCATTATACTCACAATAGTTACCCACTTACAGTACTGTGAACAACAAGTCTGAGTAACTGTACACACATAGAGTCTTGGACAAAGGCCACACACACCTAACAGACAAACTACACCCTGTAGGAAATGTTGAAAATAACAGTAACGCACACAAATATATAAACCAAGATGTAATGAAAGGAGCTTACCGTGTTTATCACATTTCACCGTAAATATAATGGCTAAAACAACAGAAAGTGCGCGTCTGTTATTCCTCCGAGCGCTGGTCAAAGCCTCTCAGCTGCGGCCGAGGGCTATTTTGGGACATGCACCATCATGGCCAATTTGCTTAATCTTTGCTCACACTTAATCAGCATATGAACACAAGTAAGGTGAGAAATAACGGAAAAACAAAAGAACTGCACCACATAAGATTAAATGTTGTACATTTATCAATGTAATATTTAAAAAACTGTTTGGGTGATGTTTCCCTTGAGGGATAGGACATTGTATTTGTTATAAATTTGCTTCATGGCTTATGTATCTTGTGGGGAAATCTCATCAAAAAAAGGTTTAAGGTATATAAACTCTCCAAGTCAAACGATATCAGCAAACCTTTACTGCTCCAAACAGATACTGCAGGTGGCTCGGATTGTTTCTAATTTGCAGGCAGCCTGCATAATCTGATTTGAGACGTCTTGGCCTAATAGGGATTAGGTTAAAGATTTTGTGCACTTGCTGCTGACAGCATGAGGCAGAATAAGGTCTTTAGAAAGCACTTTTACCTCACAGCAGGTATTTGAAATCCACCATCAGATTTCAGGACCCACTATACATCAGTATTTACGCTTGTTGAGTTTCCAACCGCAAGTAATTAGTAAGAAATATGATCATACTGTTGGATTCTCTACAGTGTAGAATCCAATCCTGGAGGATTAACAACAAAAGTCTGTACAGTGTAGAAAAGGGAGATTTTTTGGTCTTCAATTATCAACTGCCCCTTGCTGAGTAGTAGCTGCTAATGCCTCTCACTAACACATGTAGTGAAAGGCTGGAAGATGGAGACTGGCTGGTGGGGGATTGAAGAAAGTGAATGTACAGGTCACACAGAGTCGAGTGTGAGGACATGTTCCATAGCAGAATGTTTGAGTAAGATTAAAATAGGCTGTTTTGTCAAAGAGATGAAAAGTAATATTAATTTTTGCATGTTATTTGACCTTTTTCATTATCTGTATTCATGTAATGTATTGTAATTGACACCATCTGTGTTATATATTTCATTATTTATTTTATTTTTTATTACTAAATAGGACCTGTGTATTTGTTTGTCTTTTTTTCCCAAATGCACCAACAGGAGCCACATTTCTAATCTTGTTTTATGAAGTCATACAATGTCAATAAAGGCTTTCTATTCTATTCTATTTTATTCTATTCTATAATGCATTTTTCCTTTTGCTGAATAAATCAAGCTGATTGTCTAACCTTCAATCACACGGTGGTACTATCACATGCTGATTTTAGGATTAGCAAGATCCAAATTAGCAAGTCAATCAGTAGCACATAAATGAAGTACAGGATCAACAGTGTGCCATCATGGCCTAGATCCTGTTTCTCAAAGGTCACAGGTTTGAGCTGCACCATGGCTGCACCTTCATCAAAAGGCCACCAAAGGCTCCCTGAACAAGACACAAGCTCTTCCCCTGAATGTTAATTACAATGAATAATACAAAAGCTGCAGGATTAATAAAAATAATAATCACAAATTATTTACAGGAGTTAAAATGAGTGTGAACAATATCAGTGCTCCAACAAAAACATAAATCTATGTTTTGGGTTAAGAAAAACATGCACTTGCTACTTGTTATAATCTGATCCATCAAACTTTTATATCTTTTTATTTCCAGTTTAATTGCCTTAACTTTAAGATATGTCTGGGGAGGCAATCAGCAACAGAAGAGCAACGATCAGATGTGGAGAGACTGATTTATCACATGTTTTTGCTTCAACGTGGGTTAAACAGTAATACATTATTAAAACGGTTGCCATTTAATTCTCAGTCAGTAGATTTACAGATATAACAAACAAATCGTTTGAATTCTAGACTGTTTACTAAGGTTAACGACGCGCAAACACAGACCCACGTGTTTGGATGTGAGAAGTTTCCAGGTGAAGCACATTGAGATCCAGGCAGAGATGCAGGTGGCGCTCGGGCAACATCTGACGACAGGAGGTGGTACTGCTCTAACTCAGGGTCTGTTGTGGTGGCAGGAGAGGAACAGCTGTTCCTGGAGAGCAAAACATCGAGTTGTGTTTTTTTTTACGTGCTTATAAAAAAACCTTGCCCTCTTTACTGATCTCAGTCCTGAGGGATCAACTATTTCTGATCAGACATCTTCCACGGGAATCAAGATTTCCGCCTCGATTAACCCTGCCTGGACTCCTCCTGCATCGATTGGTGCGGTCTGCTACACAGCGGCGGCTCAGTGCGGTCCCCGGTCCGCCTGGCAGACGCCTCCGCCGCCTTCTTCCCCAGCGCCGTGCTCTTTTGTCGCGGACCGTCTTTCTCCCACTTCGCTGTCTCCCTGGTTCTTTTTTTTTGGGGGGCTTCTATCGGATCGGCCAACATGGGCAAGAAGGAGGAAGAGGAGATCATCAGAATCGCGAAGAAGATGGATAAAATGGCGCAGAAGAAAAACGGGGTGAGAAGAATGAATGTTTACCTGCACAGCCGCGGCGAGGCTAACGTCGGCGCTAACGGGCTGTGATGCGGTTAGCTGCCAACTGTCGAGCTAACTGACCCCGCAGCCCTCCACCGCGTTCTAGTCCCCCTCACGTGTGAACTGTTTCCAACAATAAGCGGCATCCAGTAGCCTTTGCTAAGGTTAGCCGCTAGCCCCAGCTAGCTCTCAAGTCTGTTTATGTTAGCAGCACCTCTGTGTTGCTAGCAGTTAGCCACATAGCAGCTCACCGTTCTCGCTAGCTTGGCTGGACGCGGTCATTTGAAGACAAGACGCGCTGACATCAACGTTGTACTTTTGTGCTTTTAAGGTTTAAGTTGTGTTTTGGAAGCTGCTGAGTATTTAGTGCATCGACTGTTGTGGGTCGAAGCTGTGTCACACTTAAAGTGGTGTACTAACAAGAATGGCGCTGCAGGTAACCAGCATGTCCGATAAGTATTAATCTGCCGATCATCCTCTCGATCATCTTTTAGATGTCAACACATTGTGTGTGCAGGCTTCAACAGTTTCATAGATCCTCAACAGACACATGTAGATATCTCAGTATTTCCCAACAACGCTCCAAAACCTTAAGTCATTGCATTTGATTTAACGTCAGATCAAGTCATTAAGAACTCTTATCTTTTGAGGCTTAATGAATTATCAGTGTAAAAACCGTGCAAACTTAATATCTGTCAGACTAAATTGGTTCACTTGCAGATATATTGTTGGTCTGAAACATTAATACATCAAATGCAACACTTGTAGAATGGAAGCAGGATCTGTGTGACTTGCTCTTGCTGATGCATTCATGAAATGTTGATAGTGAGAAGGGTCAGACTGGATCTAAACTCTGTGTCCTCCTCTCTGCAGGCTGGGGCTTTGGACCTACTGAAGGAGCTGCGCAGTATCCCCATGACTCTTGAGCTGCTGCAGGTGATCTTGCTCATTTGCCTCTTGAAGCTTATAATTGGACACACAGCTCTCAAACCCCAAAGCTCTAACGCCATATCTTTTCCCTCAATGTCTTTCCACAGTCTACCAGAATCGGGATGTCCGTGAACGCCATTCGCAAGCAGAGCACAGACGATGAGGTGACATCCCTAGCCAAATCCTTGATCAAATCGTGGAAGAAGCTTCTGGGTAATTTGCTTTCTTATGTGTATTTTTTGTCCCAAGTATTTCTACATGAGTCTATAAGAGCCAATCAAAAAAAAAATTGAAATCAGCTTTATATAGTCAAAACCAAATCTGAACACGTGTTAATACTCTGTGTACACCGGCTGTCAAAAATATCCTTCTGGAGTTTCTGAGGTTGTTGACTCGTGTTTTAAACCAGCAGAGTTGTGAGTAAGTGAGCTGCTTCAGTGAGAGCATCCACACAGATAACAAACAGCAGCCAGAAAAAACCTGATTTTAAAAAACGGATTGCTTGTGATACTGACATGGTATCATTATGTCATGTTTTACCACTTTGCTTTTTTTGCTGCTGAAATTATTCTGCAAAATTATTCTGATTAAAAATTAACAGATGAATATTAATCATAATGATATTTAAAATACAACTGCATCATAAAGTGACCTGATATCAC